TCAGTAAAAGAATCATTAAAAAAATATTCATCATTCTATGAATCATGTTATTTATCATTATATGAGTCAATAAATTCAAAATATCAGCCATTACATAAATCATTATATTAATCATTATGTGAGTCATTAAATGATTCATGAAATGAATCATTATATTTATCATTATATGAAGCATTATAATAATCATTTTATTAATAACAATGATATTACATTGATCATTATATTAGTCATTTTATGAACCATGATTTTATTTATTAAATAAATCATGATATATATATATAATCATTATATTAGTCATGATAATTATAAGTCATTAAATGAAGTTTGGTTTTCCATGTTTTTTTTGTAATTTGGCCTGGGGGGCGCAGGTGTGCAAATTGTAGAAACGCGCATTTTTTGAGAGGTACTGTGATGAAAGCATATTCACATGAAAAACATGCAAAAAACTATGGAAAAAAAACAAAAAAAACAAAAAACACAACAAAAAAAATCAAAAAGTTCAGACCCATGGGCAAGGTCTGGGGAGAGGCCTGGCTGGGGACATGGGTCTGAACTTTTTGTTTTTGTTTGTTTTTTTTTGTTTTTCCATGGTTTTTTGCAGTTTGGCCAAAACCTCGAGAAACCCAAAAAAAACAAAAACAAAAAGTTCAGACCCATGGGCAAGGTCTGGGGAGAGGCCTGGCTGGGGACATGGGTCTGAACTTTTTGTTTTTTTTTGTTTTTTTTTGTTTTTCCAAGGTTTTTTGCAGTTTGGCCTGGGGGGCGCAGGTGTGCAAATTGTAGAAGCGCGCATTTTTTGAGAGGTACTGTGATGAAAGCATATTCACATGAAAAATATGCAAAAAACTATGGAAAAAATAAAAAAAAAAGTTCAGACCCATGGGCAAGGTCTGGGGAGAGGCCTGGCTGGGGACATGGGTCTGAACTTTTTGTTTTTTTTGGTTTTTCCATCGTTTTTTGCAGTTTGGCCAAAACCTCGAGAAAACCAAAAAAACAAAAAAAACAATTAAAGGACCGGATAACCCCACATGTTACCAACTTCTTTAGACTTAGACTGACCATAGAAGAGCAAGAAGGGAAGAGGAAGTATAAGAGTGATGGAGCGGTGATGGTGGGTGAGTTTGGGTGTATGTATGTATGTTCATGTACAGTGAGTGAGTGAGAGTGTGAGTGAGTGATGCGAGTGTGGTGTGTGTGTGTGAGTGAGGGATGTGAGAGTGAGTGAAGTGAGTGAAGTGAAGTGAAGTGAAGTGAAGTGAAGTGAAGTGAAGTGAAGTGAAGTGAAGTGAGTGAGTGGGTGAATGAGTGAGTGCGGTAGGTGAGGTAGGTGAGGTAGGTGGTGAGGTAGGTGAGGTAGGTGAGGTAGGTGAGGTAGGTGAGGTAGGTGAGTTAGGTGAGGTAGGTGAGTGAGTGAGTGAGTGAATGTGAGTGAATGTGAGTGAGTGTGAGTGAGTGTGAGTGAGTGTGAGTGAATGTGAGTGAGTGTGAGTGAGTGTGAGTGAGTGTGAAGCCTCCCATTAACGTCCCCACCACCGGCCAACGTGGTGTCGGCTCGACCGAAGCCGAACCGTTTGGTAAGGACGAAGGCATCGACCTCAGTGAAGAAACAGACTTAGACGGAGCACAGAAAGCGAGAAGGGAAGAGGAAGGATAAGAGTGATGGAGGGACGATGGTGGTATGTATGTAGGTAGGTAGGTAGGCAGGTAGGTATGTATGTATTTAGGTATCTATGTATGTATGTACGTAGGGTAAGTTGTTTGTGAGTAAGTTGCTTCGCTTTCATCGAGTTCCACCAGGCTCTGATGTTTTTTTTCCGACACACTATCAAAACGATGGTGTGCTCACCATACTTCCGCTGACCAAAGTAATGTTCTGCACTCTTTCGAGCGCAGCCGCACATTTTGTGATCTCTTTCTGCATGCCCTGTGGCTGGTAAACATCGCTGGCACATGATGATGATGATGATGATGATGATGATGATGTATGTGAGTGAGGGAGTGAGTGAGTGAAGTGAAATGAAGTGAAGTGAAGTGAAGTGAAGTGAGTGAGTGAGCGGGTGAGTGAGGGAGGGAGGGAGGGAGTGAGGGAGTGAGTGAGTGAGTGATTGAGTGTGTGTGTGTGTGGGTGAGTGGGTGAGTGGGTGAGTGGGTGAGTGAATGAGTGAGTGAGTGAGTGAGTCAGTGAGTGAGTCAGTGAGTGAGTCAGTGAGTGAGTGAGTGAGTGAGTGAGTGAGTGAGTGCGTCAGTGAGTCAGTCGGTCAGTCAGTCAGTGAGTGAGTGAGTGAGTCAGTGAGTCAGTGAGTCAGTCACTCAGTCAGTCAGTCAGTCAGTGAGTGAGTGAGGGCGTGCATCCAACCCCTTTGGCCGATTGTCCCACGCCTGCCACGCAAAAGAGGCGGAGACCCAGGGACGCCAGCGGAACCCCGGGGCGTACATCCGACCCCTTGACGGTGCACATTGTCCCACGCCTGCCACGCAAAAGAGGCGGAGACCCAGGGACGCCAGCGGAACCCCGGGGCGTACATCCGACCCCTTGGCAGTGCACATTGTCCCACGCCTGCCACGCAAAAGAGGCGGAGACCCAGGGACGCCAGCGGAACCCCGGGGCGTACATCCGCCCCCTTGGCAGTGCACATTGTCCCACGCCTGCCACGCAAAAGCGGCGGAGACCCAGGGACGCCAGCGGAACCCCGGGGCGTACATCCGACCCCTTGGCAATGCACATTGTCCCACGCCTGCCGCGCAAAAGAGGCGGAGACCCAGGGACGCCAGCGGAACCCCGGGGCGTACATCCGACCCCTTGGCAGTGCACATTGTCCCACGAACTTCGGGGCATACATCCGACCCCTTGACAGTGCACATTGCCCCACGCCTGCCATGCAAAAGAGGCGGAGACCCAGGGACGCCAGCGGAACTCCGGGGCGTACATCCGACCCCTTGGCAATGCACATTGTCCCACGCTTGCCACGCAAAAGAGGCGGAGACCCAGGGACGCCAGCGGAACCCCGGGGCGTACATCCGACCCCTTGACAGTGCACATTGTCCCACGCCTGCCACGCAAAAGCGGCGGAGACCCAGGGACGCCAGCGGAACCCCGGGGCGTACATCCGACCCCTTGGCAGTGCACATTGTCCCACGCCTTCCACGCAAAAGAGGCGGAGACCCAGGGACGCCAGCAGTGTGTGTGTGTGAGTGGGTGAGTGTGAGTGAGTGAGTGAGTGAGAGTGAGTGAGTGTGAGTGAGTGAGTGAGAGTGAGTGTGTGTGTGTGAGTGGGTGAGTGTGAGTGAGTGAGTGAGAGTGAGTGAGTGTGAGTGAGTGAGTGAGTGAGTGAGAGTGAGTGAGTGTGAGTGAGTGAGTGAGAGAGTGAGTGAGTGTGAGTGAGTGAGTGAGAGTGAGTGTGTGTGTGTGAGTGGGTGAGTGTGAGTGAGTGTGAGTGAGTGAGTGAGTGAGAGTGTGTGTGAGTGAGTGAGTGTGAGTGAGTGAGAGTGAGTGAGTGAGTGAGAGTGAGTGAGTGTGGGTGTGTGAGTGAGGAGGGAGGACGGGAAGGAGGAGGAGGACGACGAGGAGCGGATACAGAACTAAAAACAAGAACCCCACACGTCAATGTGGGGAAAAAGTTCAGACCCATGGGCAAGGTCTGGGGAGAGGCCTGGCTGGGGAAATGGGTCTGAACTTTTTGTTTTTTTTTTGTTTTTCCATGGTTTTTTGCAGTTTGGCCAAAACCTCGAGAAAACAAAAAAAAAAAATTCAGACCCATGGGCAACGTCTGGGGAGAGGCCTGGCTGAGGACATGGGTCTGAACTTTTTGTTTTTTTTTGGTTTTTCCATGGTTTTTTGCAGTTTGGCCAAAACCTCGAGAAAACAAAAAAAACAAAAAAACAAACAGTTCAGACCCATGGGCAAGGTCTGGGGAGAGGCCTGGCTGGGGACATGGGTCTGAACTTTTTGTTTTTTTTTGTTTTTTTTGGTTTTTCCATGGTTTTTTGCAGTTTGGCCAAAACCTCGAGAAAACAAAAAAAAAAAACACAAAAAAATCAGACCCATGGGCAAGTTCTGGGGAGAGGCCTAGCTGGGGACATGGGTCTGATTTTTTTGTTTTTTTTTGGGTGTTCCATGGTTTTTTGCAATTTGGCCAAGACCTCGAGAAAACAAAAAAAACAAAAAAACAAAAAGTTCAGACCCATGGGCAAGGTCTGGGGAGAGGCCTGGCAGGGGACATGGGTCTGATTTTTTTCCATGTTTTTTTTTGCATGTTTTTCATGTGAAGATGCTTTCATCACAGTACTTCTCAAAAAATGCGCGTTTCTACAATTTGCACACCTGCGCCCCCCATGAGTACCCCTTCTGTTTCTTAAACCTATGAAAATGGTTTCGTCATTATTAATGGGAATCATTCACTGGATCTCAATTGCTTGCAGAGAAGTCCTCGCCGAACCATAGTTTTGTTTGGTTATTCTGAGCACTATTGATTTATGTTTGGCATGTTTTGACTATGATTATGTTGTGCCAGATTTCTGTCACGTTTATCTTTAATGAGCACATACCGTGATGTTCTTATACTTACTTATCATGCATTTGCATAGTTTGTGCGGGTAAATGTTTGACATGGAAGCTACCAATCGAATCGACCTGGACTGCCGGCGCACCAATTTGGGTTTCACAAGTGGAGGAGCTTTGATGGCCGTCATCAGCGTGATATTCTGCAAGTAGCAACCCTGAATTGCAGTCCGGGTCATGCCAAAGGCCACACTAATGAAGCATTTGGACAAGTTTCCGAAGATGCACTCAACCACCTGACAGGTGCGCCAATGAGTGAAGTGTTCATCTTCTTCAGTGGCATTGTGGAAATCACTGGACCGTTCGACTGGGTCATGGGTGTCTAGAGACGGTGATGTTGGCCGAATTTTGGCTGAAGTGGCCGCTTTTGGCTGACATCAAAATAGCTGCAAATAGTTGTCCGCTCCCAGCTATGGAAAATCATAGGCCTTAACCCATCCCCAACATGATGCCCCCATGAAATAATTACACCATTTCTTGGAAGGCAAAATCCAGCTATTGGAAGTGCAGCAGGTATAATAAGTGTATATAAAACCCTAGTTATAGAGGCCCCATGTCTCAACAAACCTGGGGATCACTCACCATTATACCCCTTTGTAAAGCCTCAACGCCACCCCCAGGTAACCCCCCTCTGAATCCCATCAAGCACGGGCACAGGAGGTGCGGCACGTACAAAGCGTCCGCTCCATCGTGCTACTGGCAGACAGCCAGCGCAGCGAGGTGGGTCGGTTTCCTTATGGAAAACAGGCTTTTCCTTATCTGCCAGGTGAGGGTCTCTTTCTTTTAACAAAGGGGTGTGCCTCACTTCTTCCTTCCTTTCAGGGTGGGGATGACTCGAAGTAAAGTAATTTTTGCGAAGGGAAAGTTTGGGAAACGTAGGGGAAAATATAGGTAAATGACATGTTTATGGGTTGGTTGACGAGGACATTTGCAAGAGACCTTTGTGTTTGCCAATTGCCAGTATTTACTTTGTTGTTTTCCTCTAGGGCTCCTTGCTCTCAAATTCTCGGACTGATGGTGCCTTATAGGGGGGTGAAGGGCTGTAGATGTCCTACATCAGTTTGGTTTGGTGTAGCAAATTGGAAATAAGATGACAACTGAAACCTTTTTCTTTCAGGAAAAGTTGAAAGCTATAGCAAAAGTGATTGGTGAAACATTCATTCAGATAGAGTTAAACCACGATTTCTGTTGCTTAGATTCCAAATGGGGGTTTTCCGAAAATAGGAGTACCTCCAAATCATCCATATTTAATAAGATTTTCCATCATAAACCATACAGTTTTTGGATTTTAGAAAGCCCCCAATTTTGGTTGGCGAAATTCTGCAACTAAGAGTTGGGACAATCTTGCACTACCAGGGCTTGCGGCTGGACGCGATGATAAAGCGTGGCAACTGGAAAGCCTTGGAGGACGGGGACAGAGCAAGGAATGGGAGTCCCGTGGCTGTAGACCCGCCATATGAAATACCACACTTCGAATCATTGGTTGGATTAATGGCATCTTTATGTATATTTATATATATATACATATAATTTATTTTTATTTATTGATACATATACTTACATATATATATATATAATACATATGTATACAAATTATATATATATATTTGCATTTGGGTATTAACTGTTAAACATTGCCCTCCGGTAATCGAACATGGCAATTGAAAATCCTTTATGTCTAGATGATGTTCCCCATGAAACCTCCATGTACAAAGGGTTTGCATGCTAGCCATGTTCGATTGCGATAGGGTAACTGTTATATAAGTGTTTTTATAATTTGGTATAAGTTAGTTGTTTCACTTTTGGAGTACATAACTAAAGAAGATTATTCACGGGTACTTGGAGCTTTTAACTTACAATATATTACAGGTTGTACTGATGTAATTACTTGATTCACTATGCACTGTCAATTAGTTAACAAATAAACAATTTATTTTTAGTTAAGAGTTACAGGATCTATTATAGTGTTTGTTAACTATCAACTGTAGTTATTATGTCACAGTGTATAAAATGTGATTGGGACTAAATTAGCACAGTTATGAGCTATGCTTATTATTAGTTCTGACCTATACTTTTTATTAGTGGATCAACTATTCACCTTTTATTTTTAGTATTAGAGGCAAAAGTGGATCCATTACAAATGTTCTTGGTGATAATGATAGTCAGCTAGTTCATAATCAGAATGTAAGTGGAACATATATTATTTTTGATTCTGTTAATTTTACTGAATCACTGTTGGGCACTACATAGTGAGTAATCATATATAGTGAGTGGATCAACTATAGTCATGATACCTCAATATGATTACTTTACATGTATATATATATGTGATCAACTAATGATGATATAGTGTATTAAAATACTAATATACATGGGCATATCTTCACTGTGATCACTATAGCAAGTGCATGAACCATGATATTATTTCATCCTAGGAACTATAATCAACTATTGTAAGTGGTCAGCTAGTTCGTCATCAACTAGTTTTCAATATCGTTCGTAGTTATTGTTATCAACTGATGATTATATATTATATTGATATATTATATTAATAGACATGGGCAAATTATTTTTTTGTCATCATATATAGCACTTACTGTATGTAATCCGTTTACTATGATTACTCAATCGCAACTATGCATGATTCCTAACTATCATATATAGGAATAGTCTACCTTCACTATTGACCTGACTAGGAATCGTAACTATATATATATAGTTTCCTATAGTTGCAACTATGACACTTACAACTCTATAGTTCCTAACTATAGTGTCAGTTTTCTCTTCGCAACTCTCCCAGGACCTGGCCGCCTTTGTGCCCTGCAGCGGCTGGTGCTGCCGCGCCGCCGCGCGCGGCGCCGCCAAGCGGCGCTGGCCCAACGGGACCCAGGACGGTGGTTTTTTTGGGGTTCACCAATTAATTGTTGATGGCTATTTTAGGTTAGCGAACCGTTTCCGTTAATGGATCCTAATGGATTTTTACCCAGATTATATAACAGGGTGGAATATCAATGGAGCATAGTTAGATTCTAAGGTTTTCTTGTTTTTTATTTGAATATTGAGTGATTATTGGGTGAGTCATGCATAGATGGAGATAGATGGCAATTCTCCATACTCATACAGGGTGAAACCCTCAGCTACGGTGAGGCACCGAACTTGGTCGCGTGGGGTTCTGGGGGACCCTCACCTTGTGAATCAACCGTTTGATGGGATTAAAACAATGTATATAAATCCAATTAAAACAATGAATGATATCATTGTAGATTTCACTGCATCTACCCTCTGGTAAACTAACATAACTATGGAAAATCACCATTATGAATGGGAAAATCAGCTATAAATGGCAATTTTCAATAGCAAGCTGTTAAATTACCAGAGGGTAATGGGATATGACTGGCTTGGAACTCAAGAATTGGGATTTACAGTGATATGAACAATTTGGGATGGCGATAGGGAGAGTGGGGATATGACAAGTCAATGAAATTTTAGATGGATGTTCGACTGGGTACAGAGAGCGGAAATATGAACAAACAATATTGGAATATCATGAGATATTCATGTGATCTACAACCAACTTGATATGATTCTTCGGTTTGAACGCGCGATATACCAACAAGATTGCATTTGCAATGTGCAAAAGGGTGATAAACCACAGGAATTTGGGGATATCCCCTGTTGGGAACCCAAAGATTCTAAGGACACTGATACGTTGTTTACTATTTTGGGAGCAGACATAACTCTTAACTTTTTGTTTTAATAAATTAATTAGATGGAACTGCAAACAATGAAACGTAACTGGGACAGAACCACCTTGTAGCAAGTGGATGACAACCAATATACCCATTGATAGGGCTTAAAATCCCCTTAGCAACAATCAAATCACCAAGTAAGAATGGACCTTAATTAATCATATATCACCTACATCAACTATAAATCCCCATTTGTGTTTGCTTAGCCATCCGTTCGCCATGATTTTCCAGGAGTTAGAGGCTGCTTTGCATCGTCGCTTTGGATGGCCAATCCAGAAACCTGGGCGTCGCGCGGATCGAAGTAGGGTTGATCCCTGGTGGAGGTTTGGTGGTTAGTAACTGGGATATGACCGTATTACTATGGTTAGAGCATAGATGTATAAATATAAATAAATAAATCTATATATATATATTTGTATATATATATATGTGTGTGTGTGTGTGTTTGTAAATACATTCTGAAATATTCCCAGTCAAGTGGGATACACTGCACATTTAAATGGGTAGGTCACAATCAGAAGATGAAACGAAGGGATTTGTTGATCCCGGGCAGGTTTTTTTTTGTCCAGATTCAACCATGATTGCCTGTGTAGTTTGATGAGTTTTAGCCAGGCGTTTGTACCTTATGCATTTGTAGTAGATATGGGTTTACCAGCTTAGCAGGGGATGCTGAAAGAAAACCTGCCATAAATGTTCATGGTGGATGCCAAAGGTGTGTGATGCAAACACAGATCTTAGATAAACTTTTTTTTTGAATACCAATATGTATTTGGTAACCCGCCCTCCACAAAAATTAAAATAATAAAAAAATCTGTTTCTAAATAAAAAAAATGCATGTGTTGCTACCCTTCCCGTATCATAGATGGTTCTTTGGCCTTGTAGTTCTTGTTCTTCTTGTTGCACCTTATCCCCTATGGGCCCCGCCTATGGGCCTCATGAGGTTTGGCAGATGTCACTGTGCACATGCAGCTCTTTCGAAACAAACTGCTGCTGGAGGCTGCCATGTCTTAGAAAAGATAGAAAAACCTGGGTGAATGGATGGTTAATGGGTTACTGAAGGGGATATTGATATTTCTATGGTTTAATACGGATGATAATACTGGGATATGTGTGTGGAGGAATTCTAACCACCTCTCCGCCACATCATTGTAAATGATTGTGATTAGGGCGAGATCACCCTTAAGTCCTTAAATTGCCTTATTTCATGTCTGTGGGTTATCCGAATCTATCGCCATCAATTTGGCGGGGCGAATCAAGGGTTAGCCGCGATATGGACACCCTAAGAATTGTACGGAAGGATGTGAGATGAAAAAGACATGTCCCACTTAGAATCGGCAACTCGATGCAGACTTCTCTTAAAATTGGGCGGGGTAATGGAGGGCGCAGACAATGGAGCCGATGATTTTCACAGCTCCATCGACCTGAGAGTCAGCTGTCAGCTGGGTCATGACATATCAAAAAGTCGACTTGTCCATTGTTAGGTTTCATTGTTGGCTATAAGTAGGATCTCCCACTGCAAAAGGATCCACACATGTTGTGTTTGAATTCATCTTGGAGGTTAGTAATGTTTCGTGGTTGACTGGAAAGTTGGGTACAATATATGGATATATATGGTACAACTCCATGTGACTTCCATTAAAATTGAGGCAGGCCCCTCGCCGGTGTCCCCACTTGCCATGGCCGTATGGCTGAAACATTAAAATGCCCGTCCAAGATGAAGATCGTATGATGCTGTTGGCTCCCCATGAATATATATATATATATATACCTATAAAATCCTATAAACCATTTCCATGGAAGGATTGATTTTTTAAAAAAATACAACCTTTTCTATTTACCATGTATATCAGTATATCCCCATTATAGGATTGCACCCGCTTTTTTCCCCCATGAAATGGTGGGTGCAGGTGGCCTTGCTGAAGCAGAGAAGATGCTTGGCACTGAAAACCTGGATGTCAGCGAAATGCTTGTTTAAAATGAAGTCATGTGATAGCCATTTATGGATTTGGGTGGATATATTTGTGATATGTGTAGTTGGATGGGTGGACAAAAACAAACTTATAACAGGGCACTGCTTTTAGCTACTGCTGAAGCACGACTGTTGCAGGGAGAATGGGAGAGGCACTGCCCACTGCAAACAAGTTCCTCAAAGAAGTGATCATACTCTGCCGCCGCCCATTTTATGACATATGGAAATTCAGTGGATTCATACCCTAATTGTCCTACATTATCCTCATTGCTGGTTATATCACTATTGAATCACCATTTTTTCAGCACGACTATTTATGAGATTTTTCACTAGCAGCAGCCCCCATTTCGGTGAACACCCCATGACAACACCGTTTCCGGGCAGATATTCTAGCGATTTCACTTTTTAGGTCACCATAGATGAGTGTTTTTATAGGTAGGGCTAACGATCTCCAAAATGAGTTATTTTTTTCCGGCGTTTGTGATTTGTATTAATTTACCCACGGCATGTTCCGGGTCTCCAGTTTTTCAAGTGTCAAAGCAGTGAAGATACCACTCGGTCAACCGTGGTTGTTATTATTGTTTTCCGTAGCAACGAGATGATGCAGGCAACAATGGGCAACGGGGGTTGCTACAGGGTCTGTGGAACTCTGGGTGGCAACCTCGGTAACCTCTTGGTTGGGGGCACTTGAAGTTTTATGACTCAGCTGGAGGCACCCTCTCAGAGAATGAGCCCCTTCAAGTACCATTCTCAGGTCGAAAAAGGAGCCAAATCGGCCCACAAACTTTGACCGAATTGAACTGAAGACTATCAGTAACTATCATCATCCCATGATCCGGAGCGCTAGCGCTCAGGATCAGGGACGGCAAGTGCTACACACGCAAACAGCAGCTGTTCGCCCAGTTTACATTGGTAGTTTCAATGATTGATGCAGGTCTGGCTGCAGGCAATTTGTGTCCCTAAAGAATCCAGTCGCGAGAATACGACGGCACAGCTAGAGGTGTCGGCTGTATTCTTCCGGGTTCAGTTCCACTTAGCAAGTAGCTATATGTTCAAACTTTTGGGGGGTTATATACATCCCAAGTAGTTGGATGTGTTTTCACCAAGTTTCGTGAAGCATCCATTTGCTTCACCCCGACTGATGCACCCCTTGATGAATCTCCCATGAGATCACCAGTTACTGCAAAATGGTTGAGCCCCCAACTGCACTTTAAACCCAATTTAAAATTTACCACTCATCCCAGCCAACCCAATTTTTACCCATGATATCACCAGTTACAGCTGCAAAATTGTATATTAATTGTTCTTGGCTGTCATGTAACAGTTCTAACCAGTATCATCACCCTATGAGAGAGTAAAAGTTACAAACACCCTTATTGTAGCCATTAACCATTGCTGACCACCCCATGTCCAAGCCCTAGGACCGGTCTTGGGCGGCGGCTGGCCGCACAGAGGTCTGGGTCATGTAGAGGAAGCTCGGCCTGGGCGTCAGCCAAAAGTCCCAGGGTGTCTCATATAGGGCCCCAAAATGGTTGGTTTATAATGGAAATTCCTATTAAGAATGGATGATTTTGGGCTAGCCCCATTTTGGGAAACCTCCATACGTTTCCCCCTTTCAATTGCCGTGAAGATGGGTATACCGGTATACCACATTTTTCAGACGCATTCATGTTTGAGCCAACCATTTTATGTGCTTTCACTTGGATATGCTGGGGAAACAAGGGGGTCATCATGGGATAAAAGATTACATTGCAATATTACAGTATAGTGTGGGTGTAGATAGATAGATAGATAGATAGATAGATAGATATAATATTATATGTGTGTGTGCGTGTGTGTGTGTTGTGTGTGTGTGTTTGTGTGTGTGTGTGTGGTGTGTGTGGGTGCGTGTGTGCGTGCGCGTGTGTATGTGTATATTATAGTCAATGAACAGAAGTGGGCTCATGAGATTTGTTTCTTGCATGCTATCCCACTGGTTGGTTGGTTCCTAATGGGACAACCCTCATTGACAACCGCTAGACAAGTGTTGAGATATTGTTTACTCAAACGATCCAAACCTTGTGCTTTCTCTTAAAGAATGGCATCCTTATGGGTTTGCTTAAGGTGATTTTAGTTCATATTCCCGATGGGAAATCCACCATTTGGCGAATCTATAGGGGTTTCAATCTTTGTGGTGCCCCTTCGCAAATCCAGTCTTGAATTGTTTACTGTGAAGTCACAATCCTACTGGCCAGTGGTGGGTGACAGGATCTCTCAGATGTTATAAGCAGCTCATCTTTGCATAATTCTTGGCTGATGCTTAGCAATCGACTGAGAAGTATGCTTTGCCCCACTGCAAGGAACCCTTTTTAACAGTGTCATCCTGGGCCACTCGAATGAGAAGATTCATTGAATGTCATCTCTCAAATTCTATTAGAATGGCACTTTTCTATAGCTTGCAACAGATTATGTATTCTAATCTCATATACATAACAGTTATAATAACATATTTCTATAGCTACAATAACAGTCCATAACCTGAACATATATTAAAATTGCCATTTTTTACACAGCTTATAACAGATCAACGAATCCCGAGGCCTGGGCCCTGGCTCGGACTTTGGATCTCAAGGCTGATGAGGTGGTGCTGGACCCCATGTGTCTTTCGGTGGCACCGGGGATCACTGCAGCATGGGCTTGACATGAGTTGTGGGAGAAGAACCACCAAAATGAGAGGGATTTCATGGGATCTAGTGGGTTTCACTTCTTGGATTTAATGGCATTTACCAGATTTTGATCGAGCTGAATGGATTTAATGAATTTGCAACTCCCAAAAAGATAGGGATTTAATGGGTTTGATGGGATATACCCTCCGGTAGTCAAACATGGCTAGCCGAGAAATCGCATAAAAATTGGCATTCAAATAGGAAAATCATCGAACTCATGTCTGATTACCAGAGGAACACCCAAAAAAGATAGGACTTGGTAAGTTCCTGCTCCAACAATGCTCAATTACAATGTTCTATCTTTCTGGAGGAGGCAAGAAAGACAGTCCTGCCCTGCCTTTGCCACGGTGACTTTTAACAAGTGTACCATATACCTTTGAGAAGGCCCCGTGGACTACTTTTCCCAAACATAGATTTCCTGTTCCTAATGATTAGGATCATTGTGCAGGGGTGAGCTTCACCCCTTTACTGTCTATGGTTCAGTTTTCCATCCCTGCTGCCACGATGCATCATTCAGTTGACTACTACGCAGGCACGCCAAACAATGCAGCGCTGACGGTTTTGCTGCTCGTGCCTTCACGCTCTACACCGTCAGCGTGCTCAAACAACTGAACCGTAACCACTGTGAGATGCCCGCGTTCCAAGAGCTCCTTTGATTTCTCTACTTGGCTCTACTCTCCCTACATTGAAGATCACGACCTGGACCAAAAGGTATGGCACATGGTACATGGTTTCAAACATGTCCGAAAACGCATTGCTGGGCTACGCTTTTTCCACTACAAACATATTTATCCAAATCATAATCAAATTTACATATCTAGGGATTTTTGTGTCATCTAAAGTAGTGGTTTGTTGCATTTTCAACACATCTGTTTGGGGGTTATAAAAAGACGTTCAATAGTAGTTACAAACTCACTAACTATCCACACGTATCCATCTTGTGGTTGGGAGGGAATGGAGGAGCTATGGGTATCTATATTCCCTATTGCATGAAAAAGAAACTACCCAGCCAAAAGCCTCCGCAACCTTGATACTAGTAGTTGCTAATTGATCTTGTTTTTGTTTTACGCCTAATAAGCATGGAGAATGGTTCAATTCGGAGGACAACTAATTCCCGGATGAACTAACTCAGACAATCAATTTCCGGATCAACAAACTAAGCCATCTTTATCAGCCACATAGTAAATTAAATGCATTGCCAATTCGTGACTACTAACTACATCCATTGATTGAAATTCATTACTCATCAATTGGATCATGGAGTACTGGAATGCTGATTATTCCCGAAAAAAAACACATCAATTTAGCACTTGCTAACCCTTGATTACTAGCTGATAGTTTAATGGCACTGTTTGTTTTACTCTTACCTCAATAACTTTCTTTACTGGCTACCATTAACTAACCACCTATTACAACCACTATTGCTAACCAGTGCCAGCTGACAAACAATTACAAATTATTACCAGTTATTTTTCTAACTATTATATACTAACTAGCCACTTTACCTTCAATTTGTCCCGCCCCATTTATGAGTTGGTCTATAAACATCATTAACTATAGCTATAAGTATCAGAAACTATATATAGCTATTAGTTATCGGAGTTGTGTTCACCAACTTAGCCTCCAAAAATCAACCATATCAAGTATTGGATTCCAACTAACCATGTTCGTAAGTTTAAATTACAAACCACCATTACTAACCAACAAGTGTTACTAAATCACTATTGCTAACAATGGGGTGTGCGATTATTAAACTACCATTATTTTCCAGTACTACTAAGTAACAGTACGTTGGTGTTAATAGAACTAACACTCTTACGAACAAACTACCACATTACTAGTATTACTAACTACCACCTGTAAACTGCCGTAGTTAAACTAATTCATGTGTGTAAAATATGGTCATGTTTACCATCCGCTGTCACCATTTTTATAGGTGGTATGTTCACCATTCAGTCATAAGTATGTGTATGTTTATGGCCTTGTTTTACCCACATGAGTTGGTGAATATATACCCTCTGGTAAGCATACAAAAAGCTTTTGAAAATGGCCATTGAAATAGTGAGTTTTCCCATTACAAATGGTGATTTTCCATAGTTATGTTAGTTTACCGGAGGGTATATCATTAATTGGGATAAACATGGGATATAAATTGTGAAAATTTGGATTATTAACCAATATTAACCGTACTAACCAGTGTTTAATCACCATTGCTAATGATGGTATAATCATTAATCACCAATCATCACCATTTATCACCATTTATCACCATTTATCACCAAGTAACAAGTATTAACCAGTATTAACTTACCTTTTCCTTACCCACTAACTAACCTTTTATTGTGACATATACCTGTGGGCACAACCCAGGTGGCAAGGGCACTCTCCTGGCAGAGGTCGCCACTTGGTGGCCTTCCACTCGTCTGATTGGCCACCTGACAGGGGCGGGGCGAAGTCTTTGGTGAGTTGACCAGCAGTATATGCAAATGAACTAGGTCAACCTTATACACATGGATACTTTAATCCTTTAGTCTTTTGGTATTCATAGGAATATCTACTAACCAGCAAAGAATCTGACTTTTTTACCAGCAAAGAATATAAATGATCATAATGGTCAATAAATTATATGGAAATTACCGGGAATATTTGGAAATATATTATTAATTATGGAAATTAATGGGAATATTACTGGGAATATATAGCCAATAATGGGATTATTAATAATAGATGATAATAGATTATCAACAAATAAAGGGACAATTAAGAATAGATGATAATACATGATAGCAGATGATCATAGATGATCATAGATGATCATTTGGGTAAATTATAACAACCGAACCCTGTTCTCCCGAAACCTGTAATCATGTTTTTTAAATATGGGGGATCATCCCAAAAAGGCTGAACTTTTCAAGTGAAATATGATCAGTTGCACAGGGTTATTGGTGAGTTGACATAATGTCAAAGTAAGGATACATTCTCCCCCTATCAAAAAAGTACATAACCCTGAAACCCTGGTAACAAGTGGTTGGAATTTGTTGCTAGAATTTGTGTTGATTATCTATTTTGATTGGGTGTGTATGTCGTACCCAGTCAAGTGGTTGGTTATGCGCTGGTTGACGATCACTCGAAAAAAGGTACCTTTCTGCTCGAGATGAACATTCCCAGAATTTCCCAGTTTTCATATTGATGGGACGGAGTTTCTAGGGCCTAGTCCCAGATTATGACATAAATTTACTGGAAACCTCGGAAACCCCTACCTTTGATGCAAGAAAAGGAAATAAGTACCTTTAAGTGATGCTCGCCCTTAAGTGATTTAACATAGCTATGGAACATGGTTCATTATAGATGAATTATACATGATTTACCTATTCATGTTTTTTTTTATTGTTCCATAGCTACGAAAAAAATCCAGAGGGTAAAAACTGTTAAAGCCTCTGAGTCTTCAGATAAGCCCCATCTCCAAGGTGTGGATGTGGACCCAAAGCAACTGCAGCGTTGCCGCGAGAATTTCCAGTGGCTTCAGCGTGAGGTGAGCCTCACAACGGCAGTTGGGACAGGGAGGGTAGCCGGCTTGATCGAAGATGCCAACCCTTGCCGTTGATGATATTGTAACTGATACCCTTGGGTAAACTAACATAGCTATTGAAAATGGTCATTTATATTTGATTTACCTATTAAACATGGTGATTTCCCATAGTTATGTTAGTTTACCAGAGGGTAATACGGGTTGTAAATATCGACCAAAATATCAGGGTTTGTAAATGGTTGATTGGCCCACGATGCCAATCCTTTGACTATATTTTGTTTGCTGATACTTACAAATTTAGTGGTTTGGAAAGAGCAAAAGAGCTAGGGGTACTAATGAGCTTCCCAACCACAAGATAGTCCATTTTCGGACATTGTCATGGTCATTTTCCCAGATTCCAAAGGCGGTAACGTCTCCGGCACATCGAGACACGGCACCCCCTTGAAATCAAATTTAACAGCAAACCATGGAGATTGTTTGCGAACAGAAATGTTGTGTATTTTTTGCACGCTGGGCAGCTGGTCCATGATGTTTGATGTGAACATTTGCTTGTATCAGCCCATGCTGTTGGCTCTGTTGATTGAGATATTTCCCATTAGGTTTTGGTTTGTTCTTTCCTTGTGTGGAATTCTTTTGGATTTCACCTGCATGTCATTGCTGGTCCCGGGCTTATGAAGAGTTCAGACCATTTCATGGGATACCTTTCTTGTGCGCAACCCTCGCGGTTTACCACATTATTCAATTTCGCTATGTGGAGGTTTCTAAAATGGTAGTACCCCTAAATCATCCAAGTCATTGGACCACTTTAGTATTGAAACCTATGGTCCTATGGTTTGATCCCACATTTTAATGAGCCCACCCATTTTCAGAGGGATTTCTGTGTCAGGTAAGTCTCCATTTGGCCAACGTCACGGATGATGGGTAGCTTGGTCCAGTGATGTCCTGTGCCATAAAAATGGCCCATGATGGCCTGTCTGAAAATGGGGTACCCTCTAGTAATGTAACAGAAAAAGCTGTTGAGTAGGGCAACTTGCAGTGGATTTACCTAGTTAATTAACCATAAAATGAGGATTTTCAGTAGTTATCCATGGCACTTTTCGAGAGTAGGGCAACTATAGTTATGTCACTTTACCCTAGCGGCACCCTAAAGGTCTGGCCATCATCGGGCACATGATGTGGACCATGCCCAAGGAGTTGGGCGACAAACTGCGGTCTACGATGGTGATTCCTGTAGTTTGACCAAATAGTACGAGTTGGCCATACTACTGTGGATGGAAGAAATCCTGCACCTGGGATGGTAGAAAGCCTATAAATAATGGGATAAACCACCTATTAACTGGTGCAGGATTTCTTCCATCCACAGTATTTGCCATACTTTACGATGTTGAATCGTAACTAGTCCTATATATTGAATCAGACTAAGATTCGCCGTGCATGACTCACAGGTTTGCCCTCCATGTTGCCGGGGCCGGGAAGCAGATCGCATGTTTTAAATAGCTTCAACCGATTTGCAAAACAAAATTAAGGGGGGGGTCATATTTCTGGTCATCAAAGCGCAAATCAAAGGTCAGTGTGAACTACACAGATATCAGTGGTTCATACTTCAAAAAATACCCTCTGGTTATTTAACGTAGCCATGGTATAGATGGCCCATTTATAGATGATTTTCCCATCTAGAAACCTCCATTTATTTTGGGGATTTTCCATGGCTATGTTAGTCATAACCCGATGGTAAACTTGATGTGTCAAGTTGAGCCGCACATTTAATGCAACGCATTTTGTTCTTTATTCGTCAACATGATCGTTTGTGGACCAAATTCTGGCTGTGGCAATCCACAGCAGAGATGCTCCAAAACTATAAAGCCATATATAAAAATAAACCACATATACTGAGAATAGAATGAGGGTAGAATGGGGATATAGTGGGTGAAAAATGTAATGCCTGCTGTAATACAAAACATTACCGATTTGGTGGGCCCCTTGGCACCCAATTTCTGGTGAACAAACCAACCCCTACCCATATTCTAAGGTTGGCAGCTGTCGGCATGGCCACTCGGACGTTGATTGCTGCCAGGTAGACCTGTTCGAAGGGTGCATATGCCCTCTGGCAACATGTCAACGAGAAAATCCCCGAACTAAACGGAGGTGCTAATGGGAAATAATGTAATTACGAGGGATTTTCCATTGCCATGTTTGGTTACCAGAGGGTAATTGAGCTGTAGATGAGTTCCCCTTTAAATGCCCATTGGGTAGTATGCTATTTTTATTTTATTTTATAACCATTTTTGTTGGGAGCATATCATACCCAGCTATTTGCGTCTTTGACTGGTTCTCAGTTCCAACCCATAATATTCCACAATATCATATATGCAGCTATACGTATTCCTGCAAGTATTACCGTATTACCCATCAAATAGCCCGTATTATAAATTCCGTCCTTCCATTGGTTTCATCATGTGTTGTTGTTTTATGCGCACCAGATTGAATACCAAGAGTTATTGACCATATTTGTCCACACTGCCATACTGTGGCCACTCACCACTTGTTTTGATTAAACCTTTTTGATTGTTGGTTTAATACCTCATTCCCCATGCCATGACATCCCCATTATAATGTTTGAATCATCCTTTACTAATCAGTTCTAACCAGCAATCCCAATTTCCTTTGATTGTATTGATTTCCCATTGTGTTGCTCATATCCACAGTCGCCAACCAAATATCTAACAATATGTTTGTATACAGGTTTTACCTTTCAGGTTGGAAAATTACTATCATTTGTCCAGATGGCAGTGCTTAAACCCAAGTTAGCACATACATATCACCACTTACCCTTGTCAAAAAGTTATGAACATATAAGTACTATAGACAAAATCCATGGGTAGGCTTCCATCCCTTGGTTACCACATCCATAGGTACCCACATTGAAGCCATGGCTTTCGCACGGCTCAGGTGGACCGTGTTCTGGTGGCACCACCATGGAACAAACAGTTCGCCGTCCAGGGCCAGTTGCAGGTGCCATGGTCACCGTTGTTTCGGCTGAAGGCCATGTTTCGGAAAGTGATTTCTGACGTTTCTTCAATGCTTTGTCCATGGGTTATAAGTTACAAGTTATCCATTTTTCTTTTGGTAATGATTTATTTTTGTTTTCCCATGGGTTGTGATTATTTTATCATCTATTTATTTTTTTGTTTAGGTTTAAATCCTTTTTTGACATTTGGTTGATGGGTTATACGATCGCAACTGATGAGTGAATTAGTTTTCATTTACAGTAATTGGTATTCCGTTCCATTGGTGAAAAATTGAACTCATGAATTGTACGCGAACTGTACGCATTGTCCACGTCTTATGATTTAGACAATCTGTTTACTAACAAGTCAACAAACAAACAACAATAAAGTACCGGCATGATCCGGCTTTTACCATTTTATACCCCATGAATCCATGATACCCCTTGACATCAGCAGTGTTATTTTGACCAATTCCTTTTTTGGCTCTTTGAATCTACATTCCGACAGGACTTCTTCGAACAAATGTTCCGCGCGATTTTCGGCGTGCTGAAGCCTGATGGCAAGCTGGCCCCTTGGCGCAGCTGCAGCGCTGTACGATGGCCAGAGGTAAGTCACTTCGATTTATTGTGAAGATGGTGGTTAAGATTTGTGTTGTTTTTTCTCTCTAGACATCTTGAAGAATTTCAACATTTCAACATGATTCAGCAACTAAAAAGTGATGCTTAGCCCTTTGAGGAATCAGTTTTTCTACGGCGCTCTGTTGTGGAATTCATGAGAAATGCTGGGTGGCGTCCCCGTGGTATGGTGGCTAGAATGGCGTGTATGGTATGGCATGATAAGGCATGGTATGGTACGGTATGGTATGTATATATTTAATTATATATTTAATTGTTTATATATATACTTATAATTATAGTTATATGTATATATGTGTGTATATTTTCTGTCCATGTTCTTGGGTTTGGAACATTTTGGAACCATCCTCTCTTCCAGTGTTCCAGATCTACCGCAAGGGAACAGTGCGTTTCATGCGCTTGAGCCCTGGTACCAGAATGATCAGGCATTTTTCCATCCGCGGTTACTCCTTCAAACCAGAGGGAACCCTCTTTTGGTTGGAGGAGTTAGCTTGTAAAGTGGCGGGTTGGCCATCCAAAACTAATTCCTCCGAATAACCCCAAACTGGGCAATTACATGGACATAGACCTTTGGTGTTAGGTTATATAGTTTATTTTTGTGGATATGTACCAACCAGCCTTAAAACACCTAAAAACATAGTTCTTGCGCAGAACTGAAGATGGCCATAAAACAAAATTAAAGCATGGTCAGGTGTGGTTTCCATTACATCATTATATACCCATTATAATCTAACAAAACCAACTTTTTATGGTTAAGTTCCTATTGTATCACCATGAAGCAGGTCTCATTTTATTGCTCCAGGCAGGCGCTGCTGGATGCTCCCGTGCGCTGAGGTCCTACTCGGATCCAAGGGCTATGTGGAGAAGAGTCTGCTGAGCGCGCTGGGCGCTTCACAGCTTTGTGGCAGCAAGGAATGGGAGAGCTGGACTTTTTGGGGTGCCTTTCAAAGTCCAAAAAAGCTGGGTTTCACTAGCAAAAATGAGGCGATAATAATAGTGAGGTTATCATGGGAATTTCATTGAGAATTACTTCTGATAGCTAGTTCAGAATGAAGAACAAGCTGCCGTAGGGTATCGATGGAGATGCAGGACATGTACCAGTGATTGGCTGCACTGGATTACCAGGACTTCGGACTTCATGATCTTCTGCGAGACCGATCGTCTGTGTTGGAGGGCTTTTTTTGGGCCCAGGTGCTCACAACCTTTCATCGCATGGCTTGGAAGCTCCAATGTCGTTGATCTGGTGTTTTGGCCATCACTGCGGCGTACTTGGACATCCCAGCGCTATGTCACAACATAGTTCCTGTATTTAGGAACGTAATAACAGCCGGCAACAGCCAACATTGCAGCGGCCATGGCGCAGAATGAAAATGTAAGCTACACCCACTACCATTCGATGTGGTTCGATCTTCCATTGTGACTGACATTATCGGTCAACCTGACCTTGCCGATGCTGACAGCAATCTGAGCGAGAAGAAACGGCAGAGTGAACCCGCAGAAGGTACTTTTCCAACGACCGGGGAGGTTGTTTGCTCAGTGGCCAAAGCCCCTCCAACTGGTACAGTGGGTGTTGTGATTTCCTTGTTCCACCTATTGCAAAGAGGTAGCCATCTCTCAACGATTGCAGAGAGAGTAATTTCAGGCAATTTATGCACAATATCGTGGGGATGGAACCGCAATTTTTGAATCCTTTTAAACTGGGGTGATCGGTATGAAGAATCACTATTGATGGTGATATTGGGGGAGATAGACATGCATATTTGGATTTATAAGAAGCAAACAATAGGATATACAGCACACAAAGAATCAAAGAATTGGGAGGTCTGAGCGTTAATGATCCATTTTTACTGGGATATGATATAACCATAAATGGAGAGAGAGAGAGAGAGAATTCCCAGCTAATAGATTCGCTGTTTGTTGCAGGTTGTTTCATATTTGCCATGCAAATGCGGATTCCTTATGGCTATACACGGACAGTCTGGATCCGAAACATCACCAACATGCGGAAGTCACCTGATGAAGAACGCCTCAAAAGCCTATACCAAACATGAACAGTCATCATTGTCATCATCAATTTTGTGGGTTCATTGTTGACCCATGTTTGACCCATATTAAACTATAGTCCGTATAGTCCTATGGTCCCAAGATCTCTTGAAGTGCACATTGGGAAGAGACCCTTTTTTTCTGATGGAAAATATTGCTGTAGCCAGTTTCAACCCTAGATTTTCCCTTACACCACCCTATTGATATTGGGGAAGCATCTTTGATCCGAGAGACTTGCGCCCAGGTCCTGTCACCCGGACCATGCTGAGGATGAAGCATGTAAAGTTCGTTGGAAGGCCAGACAAAAAGAAACGCCGGGGGCCGAAGGGGGCGGTATATCTGTGATAATTGAATTAATTTAACATAATTTAACTATGGAAAATCACAATCTTTATGTAAGTAAATCATCGAACTAAACGGGCCATGGCTTCGCTTCGTTCAATTACCAGAGGGTAAGGGGTAAACCAAAGGCGGAAGACTCACCTTGGAAACAGGTGGCATTTTCCGGGATGCCTGCACAGACTTGCGGCATCGAAGGGAACGAATGCAACGAAGTGATGGAACTCAAGAAGACACTGCATGAGGACAGCATCCAAAGGGTGCTGATGCTGGACCCAAAGTGGTGGGCTCTTGCCACCCCCTTGCTGCCCAGGTCTTGATGATTCAGGTGTTCATCATGGACCTTCCTACCCCCAAAACATCCCATCATCCTGCTTTATCAAGACGAACAGGCAGAGCAGGCAAAGGCAAGGTTGGTTTTGGCATGGCGACATCCTGTGGTAGATGGACCTTCGACTCGCAGGAATGAAGCCATTTTAGCCTAATAGCCTATACAGGGTCAGGGTGGTAACTTGTGCCGCGGTTGTCTTCTTGTGCCGCAAACGGTGTGCCGTTGGGAAGTCCATGATATGCATGTCATTCTTACTGGATGAATAAATTGTTGGTGGCATTGATTTTTCTAACACTTTGCAGGGGCACACATGTTTTTGAGACATATTCTTTTTGAGATAGAAACTCATGGGGATGGCTTCTTCAATAGCTTGACTCACACAGAAGAGAGAACAGTAGAATTGAAGAGTAGGGTCTTCTATAGAAGAGACTATATACAGAAGAGTAGAGAAGAGAATCGAATTGAAGAGTAGAAGTGTTTAGAGAGGCGTAGAGCAGAGAAGGGAAGAGTAGAAAAGATCCCTGCTGCCTTGCCCTGCTGCCTTGCCCTGCTGCCTTGCCTTTCAAAAATCCCGATCTCGTAAAGATCTCGTAAAGACCTCGTAAGGATCTCGTAAAAATCACGCTGTCAAGCGGTACCTTGAATATCTCAGTGCCATTGTGCTGCGTTGTTCAGTGCTGGAATGTTCCGGGTGTGCCACTGGGAAAAGCGTTTTGTGAGTATATTTTACCCATTTTTACCCAGGGTAGGAAAGAGAGTCCGCCAATGAGAATGACATGTAGAACTCCTGGTCTTCTAGAGGTCAAGTTGATGGTGTGCCATGCGGTTTACAACGCTTTGTGCCAGGTTTAAGACAGATAAAAAAACGGCACAAAGCGTTGCAGTCCGCATAGGAATTTCATGAAAACATTGTGCACATATATGGATAGGTGTCGGTGTGCCGTGGTGGGTAAGCTGTGTGCCATGCGGTCGGGGTAAGATTATAGGTTGTGGCGTAAGTTACCACTCGCACTCGTACTGGTTACTTGTTGTTTCCCCATGTTTGGTAATGCAACCCCTTTTCGCAAGTATAAAGTATAATTTGAGCAACTACCTGACCCTTGTAGCTATAGCGACCAACTTCTTCTGTTTCGTTGATGAATTACATGTAAAGTAATGTAATGTCATGGAATGCGATGCAATGCAATGTAATGTAATGTAATTTATGTATGCATGCATGCAGGTATGTATGTATAAGCACACATATATATACATATATACATAAATGGATCAATAGTGGATTACTACCCATGGCGTTTAATTTTGGTAGCTATATACCCTGAATGACATGGAAGTTACAGTTAAATAGAAATTCATCATGTTTGTATATATGTGCAGCCAGATGGATTCATATGAACAAATGTAGAATTGGGGGGGGGCAGCCCCATGTTCTATGGTAACATCACGTTTGGTTAGTGCCCAATATTACTGTATCTCATATTTGCCCGCACCGTGTTTGAAATAACCAGTGTCAGCCCATGTAAAGTATGGTAATGATTCTGATTGATTACAATATCCAAAAAATTGCCTGATTAAGTACCCAGGGAGAGTTGCATGGCAAACGTCTCGTAATATCTATAAAGACAACATTCTGTATAATAATAAGCAGCTACAAAATTATCTAGATGACTAGCATTCCCTGCAGCTACGACCTTACCGGTTGAGCAGATGCCTGGTGGGCTACCAACAGAAGACCTTGGTATTCCTCTGCTTGTCGCATCCTATATGGAGGTTTCCTGAAATGGGGGTAGCCCTGAATCATCCATTTTGATGGAATTATCCATTATAAACAAGCCATGTTGGGGATCCCTCATTTATGGAAACCCTCATATTATGAAATACTTCATCAAACAATGTCTGCTGACATGTAATGAATATAATATATAGATCTATTCATGTATATATCCGGTTCCATTCATGTTTTTTTCCTCGGGGAACGGATTGCCAACTATTAACCAGTAGTGAGCAATCAAGTACGCCAATATATTAGGTGGAATGGAAGTAACCTGGTCTTTATCTTGAGAATCTTGTCATATAATGCAGCCATTGTTGGATGCCACTTTTACTTATTGCTTAGCCAATAGTAATCATGGTCAACATTTCCACACAACAATAACCATTGTTTTACAACAATCAAGAACCTATTTTCCGCTGTCATCCATCTTCATCCAGGATGAACACTTATCAACCGTTGAATGTTCCATATTCTCAACCATTGTTATAAAAACCATTATTGAGAACAATTATAACGAATAGTGGGCGCCAGGGATTAGAAGTACGATCAAACAATATCAAAGATCTATCAATTCTTACCAGCCATTCACATCCCATTACGCCATATACCACCACATTACCACGGTATTGCCATCCATGATCATGCCATTGTTAACCATTATCAACCATGACTAAACCAGGGAAATCTGCCATTAATCAACCATTATTATCAACAGGTTCAACAGGATTCCGGAGAAGGTTCCGGAGAAGGTTCCGAAGGTTCCGGAGAAGGTCTGGGAGGCTTTGGTGCAGAGCCAGGTCAGGTTCCGGAGAAGGTTCATGATTAACCATGATTAACCATTATTTAACCACTATTGAACCACTATTAACCATTAAACATCCCATGAAACCAGGTAAATCTCCCAGCCGCGCCGCACAGGTCGTGGCGCGGCAACGCTTCGCCCTGACCCCGCGCACCACCGCCACGGTTCTGCTGGTGGAGTCGCGCCCCTTGCAGGCGCAGACCCTGGATGCAGTTAGTAGGAGTTAGTAGTAAGTAGTTAGTAGCAGTTAGTAGTACGCAGTTAGTAGCGGTTAGTAGCAGTTGTAGGAGTTAGTAGCACTTAGTAGCAGTTATATAGTAGTAAGTAGTTGGTAATGAGTAGCAGTTAGTAGTTAGTAGTTAGTAGTCAGCAGTTAGCAGTTAATAGCAGCTAGTAGTTAGTAGTAAGCAGTTAGTAGCAGCTAGTAAGTTAGTAGTCAGTAGCAGTTAGTAGTTAGTAGTTAGTAGCAGCTAGTAGCAGTTAGTAGCAGTTAGTAGCAGTTAGTAGCAGTTAGTAGCAGTTAGTAGTTAGTAGCAGTTAGTAGCAGTTAGTAGTAGAAAGTAGTTGGTAGTTTTTCGCAGTCAGTAGTAAGTAGTTAGTAGTTAGTAGTTAGTAGCAGTTAGTAGTTAGTAGTTAGTAGTTAGTAGTTAGTAGTTAGTAGCAGCTAGTAGCAGTTAGTAGCAGCTAGTAGCAGCTAGTAGCAGTTAGTAGCAGTTAGTAGAAAGTAGTTAGTAGTTAGTAGCAGTTAGTAGTTATTAGTTAGTAGCTAGCGGTTAGTAGCAGCTAGTAGCTAGTAGTTGGACACCGACCACTGCACGGCCGTGGCACGAAGTGGCTTTTTTCTGCGTTTTCAACGTTTTTGAAGGGTTGTGGTGGGGTGGGGCATGTTAACGTTCCTTGTAAGTGGCACACATGTTGGATGCTACGTTACTGAAGGGTTGGGGTGGGGTGGGGCATGCTAACGTTCCTTGTAAGTGGCACACATGATGCTACGTTACTGAAGGGTTGGGGTGGGGTGGGGCATGCTAACGTTCCTTGTAAGTGGCACACATGTTGAATGCTACGTTACTGAAGGGTGTCACAAGCACAGTGCACCCAGCATTGTCTCTTCTTGTTTTACAGTTCCAATGGCGCAAGTCCATCGGATCAGTCTCTAGTGCTAAGTTCTTGCAAGAACTGTCGCGTGCGTTCACCGAGCGTGGACGCAGCTGAAGGAAGAAACTGACGCTGCAGCTGCTGACGATCTATATGATCCTGGGGATGATAGTGATGATGCTGAAGATGATGATGCTGATGATGATGATGATGATGACGATGATGATGGTGACGATGTGATGATGATGATGATGAAGATGAAGATGATGTTCATTATCATGATGAAAAAACAAGTAGTTTTCTGAAACGACGATGATGCATTTTCACATGCCGGATGTGCAAAATCATTGTTTCGCTATAGCGGCGTGCTGATTTTCTATTCACATCTTGAGCATTTTTCCCACGGCCGCGAAATGGTCGTTGACCTAGTAGTTAGTAGCAGTTAGTAGTCAGTAGGTAGCAGTTAGTAGCAGCTAGTAGTTAGTATTTAGTAGTTAGCAGTTAGTAGCAGCTAGTTGTTAGTAGTTTAGGGTTCACACACATACATATATATATATATATATTGTGCATTAGATAGGGTGAATGGGGATTCAAAACAAATAGCGAAATTATAACTGGAGTATAGCAACCCCAAAAAAGACGCTGAAAAAGTCGCTTGTCGCTATGTTGGTGGGAGGTTAAAAAAAAACTTGTCGGGGTTTCCCTACTCCGGGAAATAGGTTTGAGTACACCCCGTTTATGGACATGTTACCTCTTGGTAAAACCACAACATGTGTTGTTTTTGTTCATGATGAATGTGAATTTATCTCGCAGCATCGCAAAAAAATAAAGTCATGTGTAAAATAATTGTCTTTTGTGGCCAAATATTCAGATTTCTTTTTCCTAACACTAAATGAATAGTTTTACACAATACCATGTTACTACCACCGGTCATTTCCATTTCTCACTGCATGAATATTCCATTTGTTTGACATAGATCGGTTAAATCAATAGATTTATTCAAGTACTATATGGAGTTAGTACTTTGGACTAGTAATAAGCACCGATAGTGTCATAGAACCGACCCGGATTTAAGCACTGCAAAAAACAAAAAGTATTTTACTATATGTCACATACTTTCAAAACAAAAAGTTGGTAAGATTGATCTTACCATATTACATCATCCATACTATTTTCTAAGTATATCCGTTGCGTTTTCTATGGAACTTCACTACTTTCCATTGGGGTTCCCCTGGGCCCGGGCCCCCAGGATGTCACGCCGGCGGCGCGACACCTGCCCTGGGACCGCGTGACGTCCACTGGTCCCGTGGAGCGCTGGCGGCGCCAGCGAGCCGAAGGCTTTCCGCGGCTGGTGCCGGCGAAGCCTGGACTGCCAGGGATTAACAAAATCAGGGAATTATAATAGGAATTACCATCTGGTTATTTAACATAGCTATGGGAAATCCATTCTAATTAGACATTATTGTACCAGTATAGCTATGCTAAATAACCTATCGATCTCGAGGTGACCTGGAGAGACATATCATTATCGATCTCAGCGACATGCTTGCGGCCACTTTTTTGCCCATCCCCAAATGAATGAGAAAACCAACTGCAATGGTGATACCATGGGGATGCAATGGTGGTAAAATGGGAACAACATGTGGACCACTATATTTCGATTGGAATTTCACCAACGCAGACGGTGATTTAAGCGACAAAATGATGTTGCAACATGGGGGTCTAGAAGTAGCCCATTTAACGAATCTTGCTATGATACCAAACTAGAGGTTTTAAGGCGATATCATGGCGATACCATTGAACATACTCGTAACGGTGGTATATATAAATGAATATGGTGATTTAGCCTTTAAAAATGGTGACTTCACCAACAAAAAATGGAGGTATACTTGGAATATGATATGATGCAATAGTTTCATCATCATAGTCATAATCCCATTGGTAAAAATGTTTGATATAAATTTATTGTATTGTATATACATACATTTAAATGCCTCATGAATGGTATGACAATTAAACTTTAATGGGTCGATAACATGGAGTCATGGATTATAGTAGAAATTTAATTGGTATATATAATATGCGCTACATAAAGAAAGCCGCCAAGAAGTTATATGACAATTATGATTGAAAACTGACGGAATGGTGATACAATGGTAGTTTTGTGTCAGTAATAAAAAATGGGACTTCACCAACAGGATTGACCACTTTAATTTACATCCTTGTTTTTGCTTTACTTTCTCTGTAATGTCAATAGTATCTAGATGGTCCCAGCTACCCAACTTGTGGTTATTTCAAGGGAAGCATGATCATTAAGTATTTGATTTCGGATGTGTTCCTATTATTTTCAGACTATCCTTTGGCAATCAAACATTGCCGCGGAAAATCAGGATTATGATTTCCATTGATGGTGGTTTCCCAAGCCGTGCTTGATGACACTGGAGGGTAACAATATCAGTTCCTGTGTTCAACAAATACAATGTTATTTCGTTTCTCAACCGTAATATTTCTACCTGGCACACGCGCTTACCAAATAATGATGGCACATTTGAACTTACTTGTTATTGACAATTCGAATGTTAGGATAATTTAACAGTAAAATATAGCACAGGTATTGTACCATTTGAATTTTTCCAGTTTGCACAATTTAGAAGTACGTATCATACAATTGTGGTCACCAACTATTTTCATAACTGTATCAATAGCACAGTTTTAATTACCAATTTACCATAGTCGTACCATGTTCTTCCCACATCGGTCAGCTGCCTCCCAGGAACTTGGGCGATGCCGAGCCTGCTACGGAGTGGAGGATCTCCGGTAGACTTTCCCTTCAATTAGTTTGCATTACCCTCTGGTAAACTAACATAGCTATTGAAAATTGCCATTTATAAATGATTTGCCCATGAAAAATGGTGATTTTCGACGGCTATGTTAGTTTACCAGAGGGTAAACCAATTTATTGAAAGGGGCATTCATCTACAAAGTGAAAACTAATGCAGATGTCACTGTTTGGGATGATTGAAGGATAGATTCCAGATTTGGTGGATTTTTTTTGTTCACATGAACAAGGATGTTCCATGGCCAGGTTTCCCATGGTTCCATTACGGGAGGGTAGTTGGTTTATATTTTACACATTGTTGAGCCAAATATTGAGGATATTGAGGAACATTGTATCATCCTATATGTGTGGCATGGCATCTAAAGTTGAACTGATGATATTCCCATATCTGTGTGCTGGGATCCAATCAAAAAAGATTCCTGGGGAACATGCATGGAAAGTGGTAGTCAATGTTTTCCTTAAGGAGGTGCACCCCCCAATCCCAATCAACAATAACTTACCTTCTGGTAAACTAACATAACTATGGAAAATCACCATTTTTAATTGGTAAATCAGCTATAAATCACCACGTTTCCAGAGCTATATTAGTTTACCAGAGGGTACCTGTTGGGTTTTTAAAATCACACATGTTTTGTTTCACGTTCCATTTTTGTTCATCAGCCCACTTGTGGTGGGGTTAGTACCGGTGTCCAGTTCAAGTAGTGATTCTTGATTTATGGTTGATTGGTTGGCTGCGTGTTTTTCCACAGGCCAACATCTCGTCAACCATCCATGAACAGCAGATGATATTTTCTTGTTCGTGATATTTTACATACTTGATGTGGCCATTGTCATTACTGTACATGATGTCATGGTTCGTTCGCCTCCAGTTGCTTGTATAACCCCTAGTCTTGTCTGCATAGGTGATTACCCTCTGGTAAACTAACGTCACTATGGAAAATCACCATTTTTAATGGGTAAATCCACTAATTATAAAATGTTATTTTGAATAGCTATATTAGTTTACCAGAGGGTACCGACATCATGAAAACTCACCCAAGGGCCATTTGGGAGGCCTCCCGTGCGCCGTGTTGGGCCCATTTGGACCGCTTTGCGGCGTCTGGGGCGCGTGCTGCGCCGGACAAAAAGGAACGAGCATCGATGGTGTTCCCCTACTGAGCAGTCTGTAAGTATGTTCACCATCAATATAAATTTATATTTAATAAATACGTAAATAAATATAATTAAATATATATATATATATTGATGGTTTATAACGAGAAAATATATCTACTGCATCTGGGCTTATGATGTAGATATATCGATAGTTAGATATAAACCGGTTTTCAATGGTGCAACAGATTGTACTACTCATCAAAACTACCCACCAAAAATACATTAAGGTGGAGGAACGGTTTTTTTGGTTGGCCCGCTTTGATGTGGGTAACTACGTTATATCCTGCTCAAGATTAATTCTTTGTGTATGCAAGATCAGCAAGTTCATGACTAAGAGCCTGCTTATGAATTAGTAAACAAAAAAAGAAATACCATATCCCCATGATTTGGGTGCATGGTTGATGGTCAAAACCATCCTCAATTGTTGCAGAGACTCCGGCAATCAAATGGGGTAGTGGAAAAATCGACCACTTTTTGATGAAATTCCCAGCTATAAACCTCTATTTCTAGGTGATGTGTCATATTTCCCAACATTTTCCCATCATTTTCTCCACAATTTGCCACCATTTTCCCATCATTTTCCCATCATTTTCCCATCAATTTGCCATCATTTTCCCATCATTTTCCCAGCATGTTCCCAGTAATTTGGCAGCCACGTTTCATTACCCGAGGGTAAATCCCTTAGATCCCCGGTATCGCCGGATATCCCAGGCCCAGCTCGCAGCCGGGTGCAGGTGCCATGCAATTCCCCAAAGGTCTGAAAGATTTCAACAACAAAAATATCACGCATATATATATACATACATATTTGTTAAGTATATATTAAGTACTTATTTATTGATTTATTTACTGATGTGTTTTTATTTATTCATTTATACATTTAAATATACATGTTTGTACATTTATATAAATATCTATATGTTTATACATGTAACCAATATGTAATTTTGAATTTGCTGGCTGATTCATATAAAGTTGTTTTAAATATAGCATTGATCAATCTCAGAAGTTGATGGAACTCATCTTGGCTTTTTGACCGTCTGCAGGCTTCGACGCGGATCGGTCGGTGACGTGGCCGCAGTCCAACATGCCGCCGCTGCAGATTTTTACGTCCGAAGACCTGGTGGCCGAAGGGATGTCAGAATGGAGGACCCCCTTTTTTTGTATCATCCGTTGGGAAAATGTGGGGAAAATGATGGACAAATGATGGGAAAATGATGGGAAAATGTGAAAATGGTGGTTCTTAGTACCCTCAAGTATCATCTAAATGAATTAACTAAGTTTGTTTTTTTATTTAAGTCTGGGTCTTGGATTGGAATGGCTTTATGTGAGAACCGGACTGGGTTTTCCAATAATCAAGGGCAGAATAAAGGAAATGGTGGTTGGCACCGTTAAATTGTTGTAGAGTCAAAACGCCATCCAAATAAGTGGTCTCCAGTGCAACCTGAGGTATGTGTAAGAGTTTGTGAGAGTATATTGAATTCCTGAATGGTGACTATCACGTCATTCTTGCAGAGAACTCTCTCAGAAAATAGAATTATGGATTTTGATAGATAGACGTCAAGTCCCAGATGTTGCGCTTTGTTGCCGAATTAGATTGCCGCAGGGTATCCAAAAAGGTGGATTTGAGGCACTATATATTTGGATGGCTTCTATCCTGGATCCTAAAGAACGTCATGACTCAGTCAGTTTCTAGTCTAGCCTACATTTGGTTGCGATAACGATCATATTGGTTTGTTGAGTTATGTTCATACAAGTTTTTATAGTCATCTTAGTTTATCCATCTTCTATAACAGTTTCTGGTTGGTGGTTTGAAACATTTTTTTATTTTTCCATATATAGGGAATAGTCATCCCAAGTGACAAATATTTTTCAGACAGGTTTACATCTCCGGCATACAACTTTTCTTTGCCTTCAACATGTATACGCACTACACAGGACCATGGTGTTACCGGAAAAAGTGGTTTGCCCGGGAAATGGATGCACCCCCGGCAGCCAGATTGGTCTGGGGTGAACGTTGTAAGTGGTTTCTGATGATGCTGCGGACCTACTTGAGGCCAATAGCGTTGTTGTGCCCCAGAAACTCGCGAGACCGGCCTCCTCAGCGATGGCAAAGTGGGTCGTGTCGTACAAGTTGAGATGGGATCAAAACCGAATTGACACCATCGATGCGGAGATCTTTCGCCAGCTTGGGCGACAGGCCGTCTCAACAGGAGATTTAGCCCAGTTGCAGGCCGCAATGACCAGCTGACGCATCGCAGAAAGACAGGGCCCCGGGGTCGTCCGCCTGTCCCGAGGCTCCCCAACAAAGAGTAACAAAGAGTAATACTTTTCAGAGGGGTTGAAACCACCAACCAGTCTTGGATTTCATCTTAGTTTGACATTTTTGTGATGTGCCCGCTGCTTCGCCGCTTCACGGGGACTGGAAGATGACCCACCAATTTTGGCGGGTAACACGGCGCGTTAGGTGGCGCCCTGTTGTTCAGCTAAGTTGGTTGATACCTTCAATAAGTAGGGTTTATGAGTCATATATCAACCCACTGGGTAGTTGAAGCATACTATATCATATACCGTAACCAATAACTAGTTTAGTTGATTAGTCGTATATCAGGCCACTGGGTTTCTAACTAGTTCAGGGGTAATAAAGAGTTGGACCAACTAACATCACTGGAGGGGCACCACCTGTGGCCACCCTTGGATTTCCATGAAATTTTCCGCTCCAGAAACGTTTCCAGCTGGGCCCAAGCACCTGCCCGCCAGGTCCCAGAAGACGGGCAGTGAGTAGCAAACTTAGATTGGCAGGTGGTGAAACACAGAAATTATCCAATAGTTGGGGAATGTGAGGAGTACAAGCTGTAAACCAACTAAGAATCCTCCAATTGGGGATGGTTTAGACGTGTTTATACCATTCATTTCTGGTAAATCACGTATGGCTTCCTTTTCGGCTTAGCACTTTTAGATCAACTCTACTAACCAGCTAGAAGAACGCAAGGTTATTTATTGCCCAGCCATGTTGAACCACCATTTTTGTTGTGATATGTTGGATCCATGTCATTTCATTTATATGTCTGTCTATGGATTGGCCATGCATTTTTTTGATGCTGCTCAGATAGGTTTGTCTGAAATACGCTGCTCCAAAGTGGAATGGATTGTCGTCATTTTCAAAAACATGTCATTTGTCGGTATGCGTCATTTTCAGCCATTCTCATTATATTCCTATTATATTGCCAACATATTCCCGTTCTATCAATCATATCTCCATGTTTTGTTGCTTTGAATCCCACTATGGTTGATTTATACCTCAAGCATCCAGAACATTTTTGTGTTTAAGAATTTTATCATCACATTCCTACGATATGTACATATGCACTTTTAAAATTTTAAATATCTCCATTACATCACCCTCATGATATCCCCATGGTATCTCCCCAGTCGACATTCGTTTGCTTCGCCCTGCAGTCGCTCCTCCTCCAGACCGGCGGGCCGGCCCAGCACGTGGCAAGCTTAGCGACACATGGAAACTAAGCCCCTCAATGGGAATGTAATGGGGATAAGAGTGGGAAGGTGTATAGTGTTGTACCTTCACTGATATATAATATATAATATATTTTAAAAAATAATATACAATATATAATTTATTATATAATGTATAATATTATATAAAATATTATATATAATATATATATATATACATATATATATAATATTTATAGTATATATATACTATATATAATATTTATAGTATATATAATATATAGATGGATATGGATGTACGCATTTCTATATTATTTATATACACAAATTCAAGAGAGAGAGGGAAAGAGAGAGAAAAACAAGTAATATACAGTATCGACCTTAACAAAGTGTGTATAGATATATTTTTTAATATATATATATATATTGTCACGGGTCGTGGGAAGGACCTTTGCATGTTTGTGTACCAGCATCCCCATAGCTGCTCGGCTTTGTCCCTACTGCTTCCCAACTGTAACCCACGTAGAACCAACAGAAACTAAGTGATATTATTGGACCGTTCCGTTTCTATTTAAAAATTAGTGGACATATTAGGCCAATCTCCTTATTGATTTGTCATTTGTCTTTTCTATGATATATCTTCCCTCAAATTAACATAGACCGTAAAATATAACCAGTTATAAGTTATTAGTGGAAAATAATCTTCCAAACCCCGGCTGATGGCAGGGTCAAACTGTTGAGTTGGGGGAGGCGAACCCATTCATCGAAGTTACATACATGCATGCATATACAATATACCCAAACATTTTCAAAGCGATATGTAAAATCCATTAAAAAATAAAGGTAATCTAGCCATATAATTCAAAATATAATCCATATCTATTTATCTGTGTATATATATATGTATGTAATGTATGTATCTAATCTGCACAAAGCCACTCTATAAATATATATATATGTATATGTATATGTATATGTATGTATGTATGTACGTA